CTTTCTTTCGATGCTGAGGAATGGTGGCAAGCGATGCTGCTGCGCCGGCAGACGATTGAAGATTGCTCAAGGCCGAGTCTCCCATGCACACCGAGTTGGCCCCCAATGCGGATCCCTGCACCAAAGCTGGGGGAAGGCATGTTCCGGATGTCGGATACGGCCCCGGATGCGACTCTGCGGCCAGCGTCTTTCCTGTCGAGGGCCAGGAAGGGAGTTTGTTCTCGGGAAAAGCACCATTGGGCTGGCATCAACAGCGCGCCATCTGCACCAGTCCCAATAGAGCCCGCCAGTCTTCACCGAGAGCATGATCGAAACACACCGGCAGCTGAGCAATCCATTCCAGTCCCTGGCCGACACATCCAGTTTCGATGGTCGAAATGGCGTCAGAAATTCAAGAAGCAAACATTGCTCCCACCTCTGGTGCAGTCATCCTGCGAGCTGTCAGGGGGGAATACTTGCCATGATTCCGACGCAGACCCCGGCAAACCTGCCTGCGCCTCGCAGACTATCGATCGAAATGTGAAGCTACCCGTGAGAAGTCATGATGCGATATGAAAAATGACAACCCGAGATGAGTCCATCGGCTTTCATGCAGGTCGGGCCTTTGAGACCGCATCCGGACGTGCTTCCACGGTGAGCAGCACACCGTCGAGCGCAGATCCCCAGAGCGCGCGATCTGATTGCCCATTCACCGAGTGTGACATGGTGGTGTCTGTGTTACGTCGGCCGAAAACACCTCTTCACCGAGGCGCCCGGCAGTGAAATGGCAAACGGCGGGGGGTTCAATCGTTTCAGGGCGGAGGGACAAGTCATGTGTCATCTCGAGTTGGAGGGATGACCCCCGATAAGGCCATCAATGACGTGCGCTATGATGGAAACGGGTAGACGGAGCCTAAAAATGTTAAAATGAACTTCAACCTACGATATCCGTGTCAGTGTTATTTCCAGCTGACGGCCTGCGGAGATCCCTGATGGCCGCGGTCACACCAATCGATTGCCTCGAAGCGCGGGACGCGTGGAGATGCCATAAATTCTGTCGGGTCGCACGCAGAGAATACGGCGCGAGCCCGCGCCTGTACCACCGGCTTTCCTACCTTTGAGAAAGCAAACAAACGCCATCAGATAAGGGGTGGTCATGGGCATTTCTCGGCCCCGGCTTCGCTCGGCCAGCATCGCTGTCGCTCCAAAGCTCAATGGTGTGGTATCCTGACGTGGCACATGAGAGGCTCCCATGACGTCGACAAATGGAGGCATGGCCTCAGCATTCAACATGGACAATAATATTGTCGAGGACAGAATGCGCTTTTGCCCCTGGCCTCAAATGGGCAGACTTGCTGCCAATGAGGGGTCCACCCACTCCCCGCGGATGACAGCCTGCAGCACCCGGATCCTACCATCCATCTTATCTTACCGCTCGGCGGCGCTCAGCGCTCGCCCACATTGCCGGATAGAGCCTTGGTGGCGACGGCTCCATGGCCTCAAAGACCCAAGGGTGGCCTCCTCCCGAGGCACCGGGCAGGCCCGTCCCTTTGGTGTTGGCGCCTCAGTCAAGCCGTCCAGGGGCGATAGGAAATACCCTAGCACAACTCTTTGCTTTTTCCCCTTGAGAAAGGTCGACCCGGTCACCCGTCAAGTGCCCCGTTGGCAGCCGGGGAGCAGTTCCGGAAAGCTTAATGGAATGCAAGTCGCCAAATGATAGGCGGGGATGCTCTCCGCGAGTTCGTGGCCAAGCACGTGGAAGCCTGCCGGCGAAGGGGTAGTTCGAATGCAAGTGCTTCGCATTTGCCCAATTGGTGATGGGCGCGTGTCTATAGCAAAGCGAGAAACAGCTGTTCCAACCGCCCAACCACGGACTCTACCGGTCACGAAGCCACATTGCCGGTGAGCTGGAGACCCCGTCTTATTTGCCTGCGTGGGCTCCGGAATCTTGAACATGCTTCCCCATGTATGTTCTCGAACGATATTGCAGTTGCGTGTCGTTGCCTCGGCCCGCGACCAATGGGAAGGATGCCGGCATATTCCCTCGAGGCCATGCCTGTTGCTGATCTCTGAGGCTGCACCTCCTTACTTTGACTTGAGGCCATGCCACTTTCGTGCGACTACCCTCCGCCCGATTTGGGAATGCCGGCCGAGATTGCTTTCGAGGACACGATGATGGTCTTGGTGTTTGGGGGGAAAGCTGCCCACATAAGTATTGCCGTCGATCCCGGATGCTCTCATCGCTGGGCTCCCTCCGTTTTCTTTCAACGAGCAGACAATCGCGGCCTTGGCTCTACCCAGCTCTATTGTATCAGCGACCTTCAACTTGCGGTGTTCTACCTTCCACTCCACGTACAGAGTCTCGCCTGCTCCAACATGCCGTCGTCTCAGGTCTCGGGGGCTTCTCATGGCTCGTCCAACAAGAAGTAGGCTCCCTTCGTCCTGATGAAGCATCACCGACAGATGTCTGACACTGCTTTCAGGTCCAAGACGGCTCGTGCAAAGGAATCAAAATCCCGGGTAGACGATTACCTCGCGGAAGAGGGCAGCCTCTACGAGCGGATCTCCAATGACAGCAAGGCCAAAGACAGAACGAAGGCGTACAAAGATCGTGCTCGGGAGACAGCCCGCGACGCCGATCGCCGTCTTGGTCCAAGATAAACTTGATTGACGCTGAAAGTCGTGACGATGAGCAGTGATGCTCGAGTCGGTCGTGACCCACGGATATGGAGGTAGAGCAATGGCCGGTACAGCGAGGAGTTTGACTGCGTTTGGGGATTAGCGATTGATTTGAAAGAAATGTCCGCGAGGATTGAAGGAAGTCACGGCTTTCTCGTAGCATGCAGTTGCACTTACATGCGGCAAGAGCAGTCTGGGGCCTGCCTTCTTGGCACAGACTGCACTTGCTGCAGCAGTATATGTCCCACGTGGCTGTCGCATATGGACCGCATGAAGTTGGGGAGGTTTTTGACAGCGCTGTTTCATCGAATTGAACTGTTTGGTGGTTTTGTTAGTGTTGGGTCGATGTTTGTTGAAAGTATCCTCAACCGACTGATGTGACGGAAGCTCTTGACGGAGATGCTCACTCGATTGAGATGTGGTGCAGAGATCCAGTGGCTGCGAGCTTGCAGTTGCCTATGGGTCAATGAGACCTCTATAGCAAGCGCATCGATACGACAGTGATTGTGGTCCTCTTCGTGCGGCTTGCATGTGGCGCTGGGCGTCTTACGGCGCTGCCATGTTGGCGCGCCATCCGATCAAAGTACCGTCTTCTCTCGTCATGTGACAGATGTCATCCTTACCCGCAAGTCACTCTCAAATCCGGATCTAGGGATGCATCAATTCATCTCGAGATCCGAGATGAGGCTGCTGGTCCCAAGATGCAACGGCTCTCGGATGGGTAGTGACCCTAGAAGAGGAGAGTTCCCGGGCAAACGGGGACTCCACCGACCTGCCGTCGAAATAAGAATTGCATCGTCTCAAACCTCTCGCAACTCTCACCAAACTGTATTCAACCCACCTAGTGTAGGTAGTCAAACCAATCCGTCATCCGATCACCGCATGCGCCGGAACCCGGAAGCTCAACGTCTGTGCGGTGCCACGGACACACCCGCCAACGAACCTCCGCAGAAACTAAACGATCAGCCAAGAAAATGCATGCCCAACGTTACTTCTGTGCCGCGTTATCGTCCCATGTTGACAAAATACACAAGAGATGCGGTCTTTAGCCGTTGTGTGAATTACCCACCGGGGTCCTTGTGCTTCGGTTGCTGCGTTCCGAGAACATGGGCGAGACGGATGAATTCAGAATCCCTGCTGAGGGGGAACGATTGGGCTGGGATCGACTGCGGCCCATCGCGGCCAGCCAAAGATGAACAATCAACCCATTCGCGCATGAACGGCTCAGCAAACTCTTCCATTCTTTGGCTGAATCCCATGTCTTTCAGCCATACAAAACATTCTTCCGACCACAATCGGGCCTCGATCGGTCCAGCCCTACCAGGCATGTCTCGATTCCCCCAGGATCCACCTGATGACGCTATCCAGGGGCCTCCTGTGGGACAGCTGGGGCCGCCTACGTTACAGAGCATATTAATCCCCGAACCCTTCCCACCATTCCGAGTCCACGTTGGTCTATCATGGTGGGGGCCTAAGACAAGGGGGGAGGGGACGTGGAGGTAGCCCAGGACCGACCATGGGTCTGGCCTCGTTCCCAGGTCTGGTAGATTTCTCCAGCCAGCCACAGCCTGGCCCGGCCACGAAAGGCGAAGAAAAGAGGGCAAGAAAGAAAGAAGAAAAGAAAAAACGGTTGCGGCGGGCATGCTCGGTGGATTACCTGGGGCCGCGCGTGCTCCATACTTTGTCCCGCGTTTACGAAAACCAAGCACCCGGGATGCCTCTTGGCAGCTGTCAAGACGCGCGTGCGCTGGATACGTGCTGTCGTGGACCTGCGTCACCTCAGCCAAGCGGGCTGGTCGCCTCGAAGCGCGAAGTGACGTTGCGTATCCTTCTGGATATACGAAGTGCTGAGGAAGGGAAGTGACCGAGGAGGTGACGAAGCCGTGGGAGGCGGCCGCTCACTTGGGCTGCCGAGGATCCAGGACTTTTCCGGGGGTTTTGGAGAAGGACTGGCGGTGCTGGGGTCCTAGGTTGCAGAAGACGGGGGTTGCGATGGTTGGGTACACATCCCCCTTGCACAGATCTAGTACATCGCTCGGCAGTCTCGGGTGGTCACCGCAACGATCGCACAGCAAGTAACCGTAAATGACATAGAAACCGGTCCTTATTTTGTTAATCATGCAGGCCCAGCTGCACGGGCTAAGTAGCAATAATACATGCTCTTCCATAAATCATCGTCCCTCGCACATCACTCGCTCCGCCAAATGCGTTGGCCGTCTTGTAATCGAAGAAGTGGCCGGTGGAAGGTAAAAGTCGAAAGGTATTAGGTTGGTAAAGGTGTTGTACATGGCTGGTGGCGCACCGGTGAGGCATTAGGGCCGACAGGGCGTGATGGTTCGGGCCTATTGGGTTCGGGGGGCTTTTTGGACGGGCTTGTCTTCGACTGGTCTTTCGGCTGGTCGTTCGGCTGGTCGTTCGGCTGGTCTGTTGGATTCGAGGCGTGTGTACTGGTTGTCGTTATCGTTCATGAACATATCGAAGCGAGCCTGCCGAGAGGCCGCTTGATCGTTCGAGGTCGCTTGATTGTTCGAGGCCTGTCCAGACGCTGCACCGGTCCTGTTCCGTGTCAGTTACCATGCAAGCAAGACAAGACCGGGACATCAAAGTCACTTACTGACTGCCGGATTCAACAACCATTGAAGAAGTCTGAGACGACATGACTGCTAAACTTGGGTATCTTGGAATAACGATGAAGGGAGTTGGCAAGGTGGTCCAATGACGGGATGCAAGACCAGCTTGTGTACTTAAACAATGTTGACACGACGGGTATTGAAGGTGCAGCAAAACAAGAGAAGGGGAATCGACTTTGATGAAAAAAGGGCGGCAGGTGAGGGCATCGTTCAGCAGTCCATGGCGACAGCGGTCCGATTTAAGTACCAAGGGGTTGGAAGAACCGGATGAAGAGAATCAGAAAAGGGCGGACCATTTTGGACGCCTTGCACCGTGATGTGCGGTGAAGGAAGAACGGGTGGGCATGGGAGCAAGGTTGGGCGTGGGAATGGGACATATCGTCAACGCAAGGTACCTCTCTAACCGTCCGCGTGGGTTCTCAGGGAGGTAGATGCCGGCTGACAGGTACCAAGCGGTCGCTAGCGTTGACAACGATAACCCAAGATAAAAACAAATTGTATTTTCCTTGATGCGTCGGAAGCTCGGCCTCATGATTGTCTCCTGTACCTCTGATTTGACCATGGCGGTATGCACTCATTTCGCGTGCAGCAAAACCGGCAGACCAAAAGAATACATGGTCGAAAGACAGGAACAGAAATATAAAACGGGGCGATCAGTTGGGCGGCGAAAAGTTTCATCAGATGCATGGAAATGCAAGGCACACACACCCTTTTCCCGCCATTTTGCATCTCCGTCATGACAAGGTGGAAATAGGGTGGTGGTGTGGGGAGCTCTCTGTACGGGCGTTCAGCTGGCTTCTGGGCCGTCAGCGAGTGAGCTGGCAGGCCAAGGTGAGGTACATCAGGAACCAAATACGTAAGACATGCTCAGCGAGGAGGCTCTGACTTCCACAAGACTTGAAGAAAATTTTTCAACTCGGCATTATTGCACGAATTTCCCCAGATCTTCTCCTTTGCGGGCGTCGAGATGCACTAGGCCCCGAGAGGAGAAGAGCAAGCCGCGCGGGGTACATGAAGACTGAAAAATTTGCTGCACTTTCGTTTCTTCTTGTCTCGAGAATCTGGTCTGGATCTGCAGAGGAGCTGGGCAGCTGGAAAATCTGGCAGTATGTTTCCATCTGTTCGGTTCCTCGACGCTTGCGGTTCGTTAGCGGGAAGGAGCGTCAGCCAGGTTGGTCGGCCGATGTCGCCGCTGCATTCCAGTGGAATGCGTCTGGAGGCAAAACATGCGGCGAACAGCCCGATAAGACTTCGAGAACACAAGAGGCGGTTTCTCAAATTGAAACCACTTGTTTCCAACCCCAAGCTACCGATGTCGTGCGTCGGAGGCGCACCTCATAGGCCAATGAACCCAATCTCGGCAATGTCCTCATAGGGCGATAGACAGGTGCAATATAGCGAAGGCACCGGTCGGTGAGCGGAACAGGATGTGAGCCTGAGGAACTCGCAGATCAAGGGCGGTGATGATGACAAGATCACGACGGACGTGGCTTGACGTTTGGGAATACGAGGTTTGAGCTACCCAGGACATCGGCGAGGCAGACTTGAACCAGCGGTGGTGTTCTGCTTGGGAAACCCAGGATCAGCGAGAACCCAGCCAGTCCTTGGTTCTAGCTGCTGGCCGTAGGGCTGTCGGACAGGTTCCAGGTTGCGATAACTTAAGCTCCCGCTGCCGCTCCCGCTGCCGCCTCCGACTGATTCTCCACGCCGGCGGACAATGGAAGACGGTGCAACGCTCTCAAACGGCCCCGTTGAGGCTTCTGGCCGGCGGCGGGGCCAAGAGATAAGGTTATCGCCGCAGGCGACTGACAAAAAACTTGCTCAGTTCTGCAACAGTCCGGAAGTACCGTCGCTCGCCAATACAAACCGGCCCATCAAAGCTCCAATTTTTCTCCTCTCAGCTTACTATTGGTGTTCTTCAATTGGCGTCGATTCGCAAGAGCCCCGCATCGCTTGTACCGACCGGTGAATTGTATTTTATTGCAAGCGGGATAAACAGCGAGCAAAATAGACCAGATGCCATCCGGGTGCGCAATTGCAAGCAGGACCCTTAAAGAGAAGTTCGTTCCCGTCTGGCCCTTCGGTGCCGTTCAGCCGTTCTTACGTGAAGCGCGTAATTGTTAATTTGTTTCCGCGAGCTCTGTTTCGTCCTTTTTTTTTTTTTAGACGGCAAGATGGAGACCGAATCGTCCAAATGGACCTACCAGGTCAAAGGTGATTGACCTGCCGTGCTTCATGTTTGTAATCTAACATGCGGTAGTAATGGTTCTTGGGGAAGACGCAAAGTCCAAAGAGGAGAGGCGACTGGTGCGGAAACTGGGTAATGGTTCCTACCGTCTTTTGGTGTTTTGCATATGCTGACAAGGACCGGGTTCCGTGACTTGCAGACCTTTTTGTGTTGGTATGTCTCCACATTGGCGATGGCGTCAAACGCAACGGAGCTGACCCAAGATAGACGTACTGCTGTTTCAGCTACTTCGTCAACTACCTTGGTAAGAAGAACATGATTGTTGCTTTGATTCAATTAGCTTATGAATGACCAGATCGCGCTGCCTTTGCCAATGCATACGTACGTATTTGCTCGCCGTCAACGGGAGATTTCCTCACCATCATCAGGTCGCCGGTTTGAAGGAAGATATCGGACTTCACGGGTCCCAGTACAATGTCTTGCTGTCAATGATGACTGCCGGGTTCGTAGTGCCACCCAACATGCTGCCACCATGTTGCTGACGAGCCGTTAGATATGTCCTTGCCCAGATTCCACACGGTATCGCCATCCAAAAGATCGCGCCCCGCATTTGGCTCCCGTCGATGGTCCTGCTTTGGGCTGGCTTGACCATGTGCACTGCAGCCTGCAAGACGTATGAGCAGATGTGTGTTGTGCGCTTCTTCCAGGGTATGGCAGAGGCAAGCACATACTGCGGGACAATGTACATCATGGGGTCATGGTAGTAAGTGTCTCCACCCAAACTGCATGGATGGGGCCGTATGCTGAATGAACAAAATCTAGCAAGCCATTGGAGATTGCAAAGCGAACCGCTATTTTCACCGCTGTCGGCCAGGCAGGCAGTATGTTTGCCGGCGTCATGATGACTGCTGTGCACAAGAGCATGAACGGATACGGAGGGCTGCCAGGATGGAAATGGGTGTTCCTCATCGGTAGGTCGGGCGGTATCCCCGGCGATATCTGCTTTCTGTTAGCCAGGTTGGGTACTAAACGGGTGATAGACGGTATCATTACCCTGCCGGTTGCCGCTGCAGGCTTCGTCTGTTTCCCAGACATTCCCGAACAGACAAAGGCACAGCTGTTCAGTCTCAAAGATGACGACATCAAGCTGGCCATCAAGCGCCTGCCGCCCAAGAGGGAGGATGCGCATAACGTCTCGCCCTTATCGCTAGCCAAGCGCATTCTCGGCAAACCATACTTGTACGCCACCCTCCTTCCTTGCTCGCTTGCGCCTCTGCTGACAAGACAAGTTACGTCCTCGGAGTATTTTCGATTGTTACTGGCGCGCTCGAGGCCTTTTGTGTGCAATCGCTTTTCCTTCTTTGGATGAAGTTCCACAGCGACCGCTACACAAGCTCCCAGATCACAACTTACCCGCTGGGCGTACAGGCGGTCGCCATTGTGTCCAACATCGGTGCCGCCATCTACATGGATTCAACGGGTCACCGGCTGCCCATCGGGTTCTTGGCGTGCGGGCTGCAGTTGATCTCTGCGGTACTTATCCTCATCCCCACGATTCCGGATGCGGCAACCTTTTTCGCGTACTACCTGGCAGGCACGAGCTATATGGTCAACCCGTTGTTGTTCGGCTGGGCCAACATCATCCTGAAGAGGAGCGGTGACGAGGCGGCCCGAAGCGTGTTGCTATACTGGCTGAACGCCATCCAGAGCACTTTGTACACTTTCTGGGGCATTGCGCTGTACCCTGCGAACGAGGCGCCGTACTGGCGGAAGGGCGGAATCACCATGTGTGTGGTTGTCGTTTTGATGGCCGGCCTGATGTGGGCGATGAAGTGGCTGGACAGGAAGTCGCTTTCCGAGCAGCTTGTCGAGGATGGGGATAGCGCGGCGGAGGCGAGCAGGTCCTCGGATGCCGGGAGTCAGAAATGAGGCAGCCTGGACGGCAATCTGACAGGGGAGGGGTGGGATGGAGGCGTATACCAGACGGAAGAATGCAACTAGCGTGAAGAGTCGGTCGGTTGAGAGAGGAGGGAAAAAACAATGCGTTGGAGACACTGGTAATTTTCGGGAAGGATCGTGAGGGTGTGCGACTTGAGGATGGTCGGTGGCGTGTCCTGTCGAAGATAGTGATAGCCAGGAGACCTGGAGTCGGGATTAGGCGGTGAAGAATAGAACCGGATTGTTCAGGCAATCATCAGGCAATTTCTTTCCCTCCAAACTGACAGAAACGACGGGAAATGCTGAAGAGGGTGGACTGTGAGCAGGCTGAGATGATGGATGAGCAGGAACGGTCGGAGGTGTACTGGAAGATCCCTGTCGGACCTCCTCGTTTGGTGGCCTCCGTCCCCTGGAAGAAACCATCCTGGTGCAGGGGAGCCTGCCACTGAATCTACGCCGTAAAGTACCTTAGATTGGCGGACCCTGCTAGCGGTGTCCACTCCGCTGTCTGTGCTTCCCGTCCGTCACCAACCCAACCAGGTAAGGTAGGTACCAGGCGGGCGGTGGAAGCTAGGCCTGACTTCCTTCTTCCACGTCTGCCTTCACCCGCGGGGGCTTCCATCGTCACCGGCGCCCGCTCCAGCCAAGAGACACGGCAACACGAGAAGACGGGACAGCCTGGGTCGGAGACCGTTAAGGCTCGAGCATTTGCGCAGTCCTTGTGCTCGGCAATAGCCCGTAGGCACACCCTGACCAGCCTAACCCCTGCCCTGACCGGTCTGTTGGGGCAGGTCGTCACCATGTTGTGTACCGAAGCTAAAGCACTCCACGCCTGATGCACGAATGTTTGCTTGTCAGGATCGACCACGTCGCTTCGCTTTGTTCGAGCTCCATCGACGGAACAGTTCATCCCAAGTGTGATGCAAATGCATCTTTCTGGCATTGCATCGGCAAGAGAAGCCGAGATCTCGACGAGACGGACATGTCCGACGGTCAACAACGCACTCTTGGAGATGCTTTCGATACAGAAGGCGGTCAACAACTTCTCATTTCAAGAAAATGAGGCTGTCACCGGGTGGCGTAAGCTGTTATCTCGTAACTTGAAACGCGCCACGGGACAGGCACCCTCGAACTATAAGTCTTCCATGGTTTGGAACTGTGTTCACCGCCAGACTGGTAAGATACGAGCCTGTCTCAAGCTTTCTATGACTGCCCATGTGCTAAAAGTATCTCTCTCAGAGGCCCCTGTCGCGGATCAATACATTTTGGGACTGCATCTTTGCACGCCTCCCGTATGCTGACACATCTCCACGACCCGATGATTAACCCCTGGCCTCAGAACTCTAGTTCATTTCTCAGCTGTCAGTCTTTCCTTTTTTCGAAAAAGAAATGCAGAGCGTCTTTTGAGACGCGAGCATTTCACGGTCACACACATCTGCAGATCGCGGGGGAGGCACGGCAGGCTCTGACCCAATCGCTCGATCAAAATTGAGGCCAGCCTAACTTAGCAATGTGCTGAAATGAAGCACATTCGGAGAAATTCTTCAGCCATTCGCAAATTGACCTTCTTCACCGCCAGGATGAAGACTGCAGGATCGGTCTGCAGTGGCACGAAGGTCTGCACGATCAGGAGCGGTATATGCGGGTACCGATAGGGAAGTCTCGCGGGCTTCGGTCTTCGGTTCCTTGACCTGCCGCAGTCTCCTACAAGGCAAGGAAATCACAATCGCTGACACCGCCCTATCATATCATGCGACCATTACACCATGCCGAGGGCTATCGGTGGATGTGTTATCATTTCTCTGAGCTGCCCCGCGTGAGAGGCACAGTTTCCCCACTTGCTCTTCCCAAACCAGTCTCCTGCGTTCACCTTTCTTTTCTTGCCTCTTCAAGCTTGTTAATTCTTCAGACCGCCTCTTCAGCGGATTCTGGCATGCAAGATCAAGCCGGCGGTGACGCCTCTCCGTCATGGCGAAGCCGATGAGGCAGGGTTAGACGCCATCCTAACTGGGAATGCCGCCTTGCAGAGCAACCTGCCTGGCTCAGGAGCCTGGCCTCATGTACAGGCTTGGATTTCGACGTACATGTATGATGATGCTGCTACTGATCGACTACTGTACACCGCTCCAGGGGACGTCATGCACTATTTCCGGGGGCCTTATTTAGGGGCACAGCTGCTGCGAGCTTTTGGGGTGATGATCGCCTCACCTTCGGATGTGATCCGAAGTGAGGGGCTCCTCAGTCAGCCTGTTGCTGCTTCATACACCTCTGGGCTGTTCACGCCGTCTTGTCTAACGCAACCGGACCTTCTTGAAGGCTGTGCCTGCTAGCTTATGCCGCTGCTAACCCCACTGTTGGTTATGAATGTCTGGCTGGGTGATTGCTAGAAACACTGGAATCAAGGCAGTGACCCCTGAATATTGAGTTATGAGAATTTCACTGACATGCTTGATTTACGCTGCAACGTTCAACTCAAGTCATAATCGTTTCGCAAATGGAGAGCTCAAAAGTGTCAAGCTGACGTGAATTGCAATTCAGAACAAAGATGTCTGGGATAGGACTGTGTAAAATCTCTACAGGAAGCCATTGTCTTCCAGCTGTAACCTTAACAAACAATGCCTTCTTCGGTCACAGTCTATTCTGTTCAAAGTTTGACAGACTATCCTAAAACAATGTTTTTCAGACGTTTTCAATGTTCAGAACTGTCGCAAGTCGCCAAGTCGATACATAAGACATGAGAACCACTTGTCCATCATCTTCTCGACTAATCGAGACTGAAACAGCATTACTATCAAACTTACAACTTCAACCACAGATAAATAAATCAAAACGAGAACACAACCGACAAGATGCCTCCTCATCAGTACAGACACCAGTTCAACGACACATATCCTGCAGCACCGGTCAAGGAGGACTGCAGCGCTCTGGAAAGCGACCTCCTCGTCGGGGTCGTCATCCCTCCCTTCTTTGCCATGGGTTTCCTTGTATCTCTGGTGATGACTCTTTGGAACCGCTGGACATACATCACTCGAACCAAGAAGTTGGAGGAAGAGAATCGCCGCCTCAGGGTCAAGAACCAACTGAACGAGTATTGGCACGGTCCCGTCTCCGACGATCTTGTTGATGCCGAGCTGAAGAATCCCGGCAGCCACACTGGCGGGGCCAGGCGACCTGAAAGTGGGAGCGATCACGTTCGAGATGTCGATCGGGATGCTGGTACCCAGTCCAGGCTTGCCACGTACGATGACGCGGGCTTCTATGTGTCTGGTGGCCGAGATGGAGCTGACCAAGAGGAGTCTGAGGAGTCCCGCGAGCGTTCTCGCGACCTGAGCACCATAGCCGAGGAAACAGAGGTGTCTGCTGATGCGGTGCTTAGGAGTATACCTGATGAACCAGACCACCGCTTCGCAGTTTGGAGCGACTCTGATGAGGACGAATGGGAAAGAGCCGAGCCAAACTACATGTCAGGCGGAGAGTCCTCGATTCCTCTGGAACCATTGAAACGAGGTGGGTCCTCCAGGCAAGACGACTCTTGTAGACAAGGCAAATCTTCCCAGCAGGTCGTATCTTCCAACAAATTCGAATTTAACAGCCAAGTCGGGTCTTCTCCTAGCTCAGTCGATTCCTCCCCTGGCCGTGGCAGGTTTTCTCCTAGCCCAGTCGAGTCTCCTACCCAAGGCCAGTTTCCTAGACAGGAGGCATCGTCCAGGCAAGGTGAGTCCTCTGCACACGACGGGCCCTGTCGACGAGGCTAATCTTTCCCAGAAGGCGAGTCCTTGCCGCCACAGGGTGAGTACTCGGCACCGGGCGAAGGCCAAGGGGAGTCTTCGAGTGAGCCGAAACCACGAGAAAGGTGGAAGCCTATGGCGAAACCAACGCATCCCTACAAATCCAGATTTGTTGAACACTTAGACGACGTTGCTGTTCCCTTAGACACTATCCTTCTCGATGACATTCTTTTTCCCGACCCCTTGATCAGTGACGACAAGCAAGAAGCTCCACATGACGCTCGACAGCAGAATGAACATCGCTTCCGTAGGAAATAGGTATTCCTTCGGACGTGGCTTTGCAGGAATTTTCGAGCAAGTGGAGACGCACGGTGAGTTTCTGACAGCAGTGAACCTGGGTTGCGAGTCACAGGTGTCGAGGTCAGTGAGGCAGGCTTGAATACATAGAGAAATAGATTGGAAATGTTTGTAGAAACTTTGTTCATTTTTTCTGTCATGATCATGTAATTTGTTTCATTGACTATTGATTTGAGACCGCGTCATTGAAGTGTTGTGAAGAGTATGAGATGACGTGTGTTCCCATCGAGTCGGTTTGTAACTTTGACAAATACCATGATAGAAGACGATGCATCATTTCTCATCCAGAGCGGCGCGCGTTGCTCTTCAGGAACTCAACTATCAAGCCTTTAGCTGTGTTGACCGCCAAACATCCTGTCCGGCCTCGTATGCTGTGATGAAGTCTCAGACTGTCTGGAACCCATTTGGTCCTAGTGAGCCGAACACCTTCGAAATACAATAAAGCCAGCGTATATGAAAAAGTAAAAACAACTTGTCTCCCTTCACTAAACGAAATAATGTAATATCTTTGATCTTCCTTCAAAGTCGCGGTACCAGTGTCACCAATGAACCAAGGCTTTGCATCTTTGCTGCTCCGGCTAGCAAAGGTTTATAGCTGGAACGATGGATGCGGGTAATAATGGGGGCACCCCATGGTGACAAGGAACCAGAACAATGAACAAGGACGAAGGATCTTGATAACCACCGATGAGATCTATCTTGAGACCCAGTCCAAAGACTTGAAAGCTATCAGCGCAGTGCTTATCAGAACAAAGCTTTGTCTGGGGAAGACTTGTTCGATGACAACGAACAAGGCTGTTGTTTGCATCACACCCTCAATGTCGCTCATCTGATTGGCATCTATATATCCTTGCCTTCCATCTTTCTCCAGGACTATTCTCATCATCACACCGCATCAATCCGACTCTCATCTCAGAGGCAAGTCTTCCTTCCCCTCTTCCATCACTGACTTCCCATCAGAAACGGGCAGCATAATCCTGCAGTCAGCGCATCGCTCTATTCGAGTCCCGCAACTGAATTATTTCGTATGCCCTTGATCTCTCTGTCTTCTGCTAAGTAAGTCTGCCCTTCTCCCACTGACAGAGCACAGTACTTCAAATGCATGTTTCCTCCATGAGGTGAGTCTTCCCCTACCTCAAAGCTGAAGCAAGTTCTAGGAATCAGATCTCTAGTGTCGTCACTACTAATTGATCAGGTAAGCCTTTCCTTATCCCCTCTGAGCAGCTAACCCATCTACCAGAGAACCTTCAAAGCCGCCCTCGTCCCTACTTTAAAGAGTCCTCGTATTCCCGTGAGTCTTCCTTCATCTACCTTCTTTGAGCAACTGACCCTAGGCGTTCCTAAATCCTTGAAATCTTTCTTTATGGCAACGAGTCTTCTTATTCTTCATTCGTAAGTCCCATCCACCTTTGTGCTAACTGCAGGTCCATCGATGATCGAAAGCCTCCTCTTCTTCGTTCCATCTAAGTCTGTAAGTGCCTCCCCTGCTCGTAGATTGCTAACTCTTCAAGACCTCTCGACTTTTGCCCCAGACAGATGCGACTACATTACCGGACCAGGTATGTTCCCCCGCCTCATCTCTGTTGCTAAAAGTCATCACCAGCGAATGGATAGACTCGATATCCTCCAACGCCATCAACGATCGTGAACCCGTGATCGACATGCAGGTATGTGCTCACCCCAGAACCAAAATGCTGACGCTTGAAGTAAAAGAGTCGAGTATTTGCAAAGCTACTCGCGACTATCTCATCTATAACCAATCGGCGAACCGACCCCGGCCATCCCCGGTGCGTGATCCTCCCTGAACCAATAAGCTAACGCAATAGATCATTTACGACACTACCTTTCTGCCTTGTCTAGCCACCGAGTTCTCGCGAGAGCCGCGCATGCCGATGCCGCGATGAAGGAGACATAAGCCGAATCGCCCCAACTTCCGACGACGAATCGCGGCCGGCCGATGTTTATACCGAGCGAATAATGTGATGATGGGAGTCATGAGGTGTTGGGATGATGAGAGTGGGGAAAGGAGGAACATCTGAGTGGTATTTTTGGGGTCATCTACGAGGAAATGCAGTAATCAATGATGGATAAGGTCTGGATCTTGATTCAAGGCTTCGTATATTCCCAGTGAATTGAAGTGATATCAGATACCTAACGCCCTAATAACAAGCGCCGATTATCAACCCGAGGCCGTCTCTTCCATTAGTCGTCTCATCGTTTAGAAAAACTTGCTCTTGAGCCCTCCCAGCACAACATTGCGCTTCTGCTTGTTGATGTACTTGCCAACGTCGTCTGCCCATCCTGCACTCTGGTTCTGCAGGTTGTCCATGTTATCGCTCATGATGTTGAGCTTCTCAGTCCGCTCATTGAGTTGTCTAGTGAGGTAATCACCCCAGCCCTCCTGCGCACCTCCAGCGCTTGGCCCTGCTGCTGTTTGGCCTGAGCGTGCAGCCCTAGCCTCTGCCGCCGCCGCCTGGATCATGCGTCTGCTGGGCGGGCGATCAGGGGCGATGAGAAGATCAAGGTCCGTCGGCGAGATGTACTGCGTGCCCGACAACCACTGCATGTTAGAAATGGTAGGGCGAGGCGGCGTGATGAGCTCGGGGTTGATGAGAACGTCCGCGCTGACGGGAAGATCCTTCGCAGTACCCCACACGCTTAGGACTGCAATTTCAGATGGGCCAGTCCAGCCAAAGACATCGCCGGTCTGTGTCACCACGGCGGCGGTGCTGCGACTGCTGTCCAGCATGGGAAGCTGAGCCTTTCCAATTTCCTTCAGTCCCGGGATGGAGAACGCGCGAGTTGTCCTGTCGCCAAAGACGCCAACAATGGCGAAGCCGTGGAGCTCGAACTCGGTGACGTTTGCTGCGTCACAGAGGATGTCATCAAAGGATTTAGAGGCTCCCTTGGCTCCTGCGGGTTTGAAGACGCGAATCTCGGTTTGCGTCACTGTTCTTTGTTAGTAATTGTATCTCAAAGGATCAAATAGACTTACCAGCAATCAAGACACCGTTCACCTGCTGTCCGTTCCTGAGGCCTGCAACAATGGGACCAGTCGCAAATGCAGGCTTGCCAGAGTCCGCAACAATAGGGCAGAGAGCCACAACCTTGCCGTCAAACTGCTGAGCTCCGGCGAGAGTTACCGAGTAGCTGTTGCCGGAGGGCAGAATCTTGAACGTGGCCACCCTTCCTGTGTTGGTGCCAACGAAGCAGCAGATGCTGGAGTAATTGTCGCCCTCTAGTGTCATGACACTGAACTCAAGGGCAACCGGCCACTCTTTTCCGCTGGGCTGGCTATGACCCTTCAAGAACGAGGCTCTCTTCTCACGCTTGGCGAATTCCGACATGGACATTTGGTAGATGACTGACGGTCCTCTCAAGTCGATAATGCTGAAGAAGCCGCCTTCAGAGCCAACAGCCACAAAGCCGACATCTGACACGCTGACGGCCGAAATTGGTCCTTGCATCATCTCGTACAACTGCCACGGCTGCAAGCCCTCTTTAAGAGACGGCTCCGCTCTGGAGCTGATGTCAGTCAGGCCACCGGGGTTGGGAGCAATGTCCTCGTGGTGATCCTTTCCATGGAACCTGTTGCCAGCCCATCTGTAAATCACCAGCTCGCCGTTGCGCGTGCCAACAGCGAATTCGCCAGTGTTGGGAGCCATGTGCATGGCGGTAATATCAACATCCTCGTAACGATCGAGCGAGCGAGCAACGTCGACTTGAAGCATGGTAGGGTTCTCAATCTCATCGTCGTGACCGGCATCCCAGAGACGGACCGTGCTGTCGCCGTGGGCGATCTGGAAAATGGTACGTCCTTCGTATCGGCGCTTCGGCTTGGCGGCTGCGGCGCCGCCCTTGAGCAGTGGTTCGCCCTGGTTTCTGGTCTCGACCATGCCGAGCCAGCGGCCCCGGTCGACGGTCTGCACGGCGAATCTATTGACATACGGGTGGACGAAAGAGACAGAGGGGTGGAGCTGGTTTGTCGGACTGATTGGGTATCCCGAGGGGAAACTCATGGTGAGTAGCTCGCCAGAAGTGAGCAGGGCCAATACCGCAATGGGATCCTGCGCGCCAGCAAAGTACGGCGAAAGACGGGGAATGAGTAGGAAGTTAGCGACCTGAGCCCCTGGTGGTGTCGGCAAGGAAATATTTTTCTTTCCTCGCAAATGGTCTTCGAGAACCTGCCATGTCGAAGTTGCGTAGACGGGCGTTTGTCCAAGCTCGATGAATGTCAGGCTCTTTTGCGGATTCTCTGGGCTGTGGCCACCTGCGATAAGAATTCCGGTGTCGTCCGGGTTGTCCTTGCAGCACCATGCGATCTTTGCATATGGCTCCCTGAAGCCAACATGTCCCGCGTTAGGTGTAGGTTGATCGATCTTGAACTCGTCCAACGTCCTGGCCATCACAACTCGGCCATCCTTCGGGTCCCAAAACACCATGCTTCCATCATCGTGGGCCGTCATAATGAAGGTACCAGTGGGGTGCCACAAAGCGTAAGAAAGCCTTGGCCGGCGGACCGTATCAGGTGGCTCTCCACCGCCGCCAGGCGCGCCTGGTTGAAGAACATACTCCAAGAACTGAGTGGGTTTGTTCTGCTTAAACGAGTACACGACCACACCCGTGGTGTAGGCGATGAGCAGCTTGCCAATGTCCCTAGGGTGAAGTGC